GAGGCGGATCCCCACTCGGGGATCCGCACACGCCTGGTTGCGGCGGATACCCCCCAGATTCGCACACAGACATACGAAGCGGACCCCCGAGTGGGGGGAGCCGATTAGAAGGATCGAAGACCGGTGCTACTTCCGGACCGGTATAACGGAAGCTCGTCCTGGGCGGATTACATTACGCACTTCAATAGATGGAGCAAGGCCGAGAACTGAACAAGGACTGGCCAAGGAGGCGTTCACAGGTGCCACTTCATCAAGCTCAACTTTCCATGCGGGTGCGCGGTCGGGGAGAGTCCCTAGAGGAACTGGGGAGGTCCATCCAACGGTTAGTCCTCCGGAGTTACCCCACCTTGCCCACACAGGAGCGTGAAAATCTGGCGGTGGAGGCCTTCCGGAACACCCTGGGGGACGAACAATTGCAGCGCCATGTCTTCGCCAGGAAGGCCACAACCCTGGCGGAGGCGATTACCCTGGCCACTGAGATGGAGGCCTTTTTGGAGTCCCAGGCCCATCAGCGGAAGGGTCGGATCGGGGCCAAGGAGGTTTGGGTGGTTGAGGAACCCTCCGCAGGTACGCCGGGCAAGGCGGGGGTGGGGGGTGGAGATCCACCCTTGCCGGGCGCCCCCTCGTGGGTCCAGTGCCGCGAGTATGGGCATTTCCGCTGGGATTGCCCGCGCGGAAAGGGGAAGGGCGGCGCCGTCCGGGGCCAGCTGCTGGCGGAGCCAGTCTTGATGGCACCTCCGGAGCCGGCCCCTGCACCTCCGTTGGCGGCAGAAACAGGGCCAGCGGCCTGACACAGGGAGACGCCGGTGGCGCAGGCGAACCAGGCCAACTACGCCACTGGCAAGCTGGCCGACAAGACAGTGCGGGTGCTACTCGACAGAGGGGTGGCCGTAAGTCTCGTGTCGGCCAGGGTCTACTACGCGCTTACAGGCGTCGACAAACCCAGATTGCAGCCAGCTGGACCGACTCTGCCGATGGCTGATGGTAGCCCGATGCGAGCACATGGAGTCGCCGACTTCAAACTCCAGCTGGGGGACAAGTGCACCCTACACACCTACACCGTGGCAGACATCGAACCCGATGTCGTTGTGGGGATAGACTTCCTGGCTAAACACCGCTGCGAGTGGAGGTGGAGCGACAACTCACTTGTGGTTGACGGCAAGCTGGTTCCCTGGAGGGGCCGAGCTGCAAGCCGGTGGTGGCACGGATCCAAGTGGCCGAGAGCGGGGTAATCCCCACCGGGAACGAGGCGATCATGACTTGGAAAGTCTGCGGAGATCGTGCCCGCGGAGTGGGAATAGTGTACCCCAGCCTGGCGGCCACAGACCATTGCCAGGTGGACGTCACAACGGACCTCGTGGATACCAGTCAAGGGGCCATGCCGGTGCAAGTATTCAACCCGACGGGAGACCCGGTTACAGTCTATAAGGGGAGTCGTCTGGCCATGTTCGCCCCCGGGGAAGAAGGCGCGGTGATCGACCCCGAGGAGGGTTCTCAACAGGTGGTTTCAGAGCCCTGCCTTACGGAAGGTTCCGTGTGGAGTCCTGAGGGCGGTCCAGTGGGCCACGGTTGCCAGGGAGGCTCTTCTTGGAGCTCAGGAGATAGTGTGCCCCCCACCTGCGGGACCTCCTGGACTGGGGAGCGGCCAATCTGGACGGCGAGGAATGTGAACGGCTGGCGAGCCTGCTGGTAGAGTTCCAGGGTGCCTTCACCGGGCCGGACGGCAGGCTCGGCCAAACCGACTGGGTCCACCACCCAATCAACATAGGGACAACGCCTCCCATCCGGCAACCTCCCCGGCGGCTTCCGATCCACAAGCGGTTGGAGGCCCAGAGTCAGGTGGACCAGATGCTGGCAGATGGGGTAATCGAACTGTCGCACAGCCCGTGGTCGTCGCCGGTGGTCCTGGTGCGGAAGAAAGACGGGTCTGTCCGCTTCTGTGTGGACTACCGGCGGGTCAATGCAGCCATCCTGAAGGATGCCTACCCCACCCTTCGGATAGAGGATAACTTAGACGCACTCGAGGGAGCCAGGTGGTTCAGCACCCTGGACTTGGCCAGCGGGTACTGGCAGGTCCGCATGGCGGAGGATGACAAGGAGAAGACGGCTTTTGGGACACAGAGCGGCCTCTACCAATTTACCGTGATGCCCTTCGGGCTCTGTAGCGCTCAGGCCACCTTCGAGCATCTGATGGAGCGCGTCCTGCGGGGTCTCCAGTGGCAAGTGGCCGTTGTCTACCTGGATGACGTGATAGTTTGGGGGCGGAACTTTGAGCACTACCAGAGGCTGGCCACGGTACTGGGGCAGTTCCGGACTGCCGGACTCAAACTGAAACCCAAGAAATACAACTTTTTCAAAACGGAGGTGTCCTTCCTGGGCCACTTGGTGTCTGTGGAGGGGGTTCGGACGGACCCCGCTAAGGTCGCAGTGATCTGTGGTTGGCCAAGACCGACGAACGTGACGCAGGTCCGGAGTTTCCTGGGCCTGGCGTCATATTATCGGCGGTTTATTACCTGCTTCGCCGAGATCGCCCGGCCCCTCCATGCTTTGACCAACAAGAGCCAGAAGGAGTTTGAGACCTGAGCAAGCTAGCTCAGGAGCAGCAGGACGACCCGGAGCTGGGATCGGTCCGCCAGTGGCTGGTGGCAGGGAGCGACCGGCCTGAATGGGAGGACATCTCCAACCTCGGCACCAGGGTCAAAGCTGGTGGTCCAGATGGGACACACTGCGCCTATTCTGAGGGGTCTTGCAGGTGAAGGGGGCAAGGGCCGACAGGGGGCCCCCCACCTAAAAGATCGCCGTCCCACAGGCCAGGGTGCCAGAGGTTCTACTTCTTGCCCACAACCACCGAACTGCTGGACACCTCGGGGTCGCTCGGACCGTGGCCCGACTCAGGCAGGCTCCTGTGTATTGGAGGGTGATGAGACGGCAGGCTGAGGAGTGATGCCAGAAGTGCCATCTCTGCGGTTCTAAGACGTCCCCACCGCGTCCCGGGAGAGCTCCGCTTCGACAATACCTGGTGGGGGCCCCAAATGGAGCAGATCTCCATTGGCCTTACCGGACACCTTCCCCGAACCAAGGCCAGAAACACCAGCATAATGGTAGTGGCGGACTATTTCACGAAGTGGGTGGAGGTGTTTCCTCTTCCGGATCAAGCGGCTGAGACGGTGGCCAAGACCCTCGTGGAGCAGGTGATCACGTGCTTCGAGGCACCCCTCGAGATCCACACGGATCAAGGGTGGGAGTTCGAGGCGGGCCTGTTCCGCGGGGTCTGCCAGCTGTTGGGCATCCACAAGACCAGGACAACTCCGTTCCACCCCCAGTCCGACGGCATGGTCGAACGGCTCAATCGTACCATGAAGACCATGCTGAGCATGTTTGTGGATGAGAATCAGGACCACTGGGACGAACATCTTCCCTACATCCTGATGGCCTACCGCTCCTCTCAGCGCGATAGCACCAGGCTCACCCCGAACATGCTCATGCTCGGGCGGGAGGTGGGACTTCCCCTGGACGTTGTTGTTGGGTCACCGGAGGAATGGATGGAGACTACCGAGGCACTAAATTACATCAACGAGCTGAGAGCGAAGCTCATGCGGGCCAACGAGTTTGCCCGGCGACATCTGAGGCTGACTCAGAGCTACCAGAAGCAGCAGTACGACCGTCGCGCCCAGGAGGGCGGGTTCGAGCCCGGCCACGCTGTTTGGCTGTTCACCCCAAAGAAGAAGGTTGGCCGCTTCCCCAAGCTTCAGCAGTGGTGGGACGGCCCCTTCGCGGTGCTACAACGCCTCAACGACGGTGACCTACAAAGTGCAGCATACCGCCCGAGCGAAGGCTCATATCGTGCATCGCAATCGGCTTAAGCGCTACCTGGGCGACGTGCAGCTCGGATGGTGGGAGCACGCAGCCCGCAGAGCCTTGGCCGAGGAGGCGCCAGCGCGGGCAGGGGGGCAAGGAGCAACCGGATCCAGCCCTCAGTCCTGGCCGCGGGGGCCGTCAACCCCTGTTGACGAAGGGACCGCACTGGAACCTATTGACGAGGTGAAGTCGGGACACCCGGGCTGGAGCGGTGGCGTGTCGAGCGGGGAGAATTCAGACATAAGCAGCCAGGGAGGCAGCACACCAGTGGAGCCATCGCCGTGCGAGCCGGAGGCGGGGGTAGCGCTCGTGACTCGCAAGGGGCGGCGGGCTTGGCACGATTCTGCTTCATGCTAACTCCTGAATCTCCCTCTGTTTCTCTCCCCGGGATGGACCGGTTGGCCAGCCCCCACTGTCTGCGAGAATTCTGCCAGCGGACCAACTTGCGGCGACACCTGAGGTCAGCGTGTCCGGAGCTGTTCGCCACCCGGCCTGATACCTGTGAGTTGGGGTGTTTCTACCCCTCGGACATGCGGGATCGGCACCACCGACACTGCGTCCACGTCCTCGTTGGCCAGATCCGGGCGGGGGATCCTGATGTCCCGGAGGTCTTCGCCAGTGGCGGGGAGTTGGGGGGTGACGAGTTCCCCATGGAGCAGTCACTCCCCCCTGCCAGTCGTCCGGAGGGAGCTGTCCAGACCCGCCCCCGGTCAGCTGCTGCAGGTGAGCCCTCGGTGCCAAAGGCGGGGGTCCCGGGGCTGGCTGGAACAACGAGACCAGTCGGACTCGCCTTCCAGTGCAGCCCCGGGCCCTCGGGCCCCTGCTGCGGCCGCCGCTGCTGGAGCCGCCCCCCTGCATCGCTTAGTAGAGACAGGGACGCAGACAGAGGTAGAGCCCAAAGCCCCGGTTGGGAGCGGGGGCCGCCGGAGTCTGCCCCCGGCTCCTGGGTGACATATGCGGGGGGATCTGCCTGCGACTTGGGGTGCGAGCCACTCTGCAGGAGGAGCGGGCCACCAGAGACACAGACACCACGATGGACCCACCCCTCTGTGAGCATCACCACAGCCAGTGGCAGTCGGAGGTCCAGCGGGAGCCCCCTCCACCGCCCATTGGAGTTTGCCCCCCCCCCCGGAGCAGTGAGGCAACGCCGGGGGGCAGCACGGCGACCGGAGTCTCCTCCACACTGGACCCCTGGATCCTCCCCATGGTAACGGAGAAGACCCTTGGAACCCAGTTGCTTGTTATTCCACTGCCTGTAAGCTGTGCAGGGGCGACCGGGATGGCCTCGGGCTGGCCCGCCGGGTTGCGCCACCTCGTTCGGGGAAGAACAAGGGTCCTCGGAGGTGGGGGGGTGTAGCGCCGGCGGGTCCGGCCGGTGGGGGCACCAGCTCGGACCCACATGGAGTTGGCTGGCTGCCCGCGCTGGAATGCGAACGGCCCGCAGTTTTCCTGCCTCGTGCCTGTGCAGTCCCTGTCGAGAGGCGCCGTGTTTAGAGCTTAGCTGAAAAACGCATTGTTGTGGACGCTACAACAATAAAACAGAGATTTCGTGACCAGAACAGCGAGTTGCGGCTGTGTGTGATTCTATACCAGCATCGAACCCTGATCCGTAGGACACGCTACAGCAGTGTTCAGTTCTTTTTTCTCTCTTTTTATTACCATTGTGCGATTAAGGTAGTGTTCAGTTCTTTTTTTCCTCTTTCCATTACTATTGTAAGATTAAGGTAGTGTTCAGTTCTTTATTTCTCTTTTTATTACCATTGTGCGATTAAGGTAGTGTTCAGTTTTTTTTCCCTTTAATCTTTCCATTACCATTGTGTGATGTAGTAGGCTTACAGAATGGTAGTATACTAGCGCCCTCACTTTGGTTGGTCAGCATTTTATAGCGGAGCCTCTGATGCAGCAAACACAATGGAAATTCCTCCTGCCAGGATTCCTAGGAGAAACCAATCAATGTCATCAAGTTCTGTTAAGTTTATTCCAGTGTTAACCCTGAAAATGCCGGGTTATCTCACAGCCGAGATCTTGGTCGTCCGAAGTGTGCATGCAAAACACTCCTTATCAATACAGATGTGGAGTTTCAAATCAATCTGACATACAACTTATAGTTGCGACGGTCATTTGAAGTTGAAGGTAAAAAGCGTACCAGCCACCATGTGCACTCAGCACAGCAGTTGAAAGTGCGGGTACGTTTTTTAGTTGACCTGTTTCGGGAAAGTGGATTCTTCATGAGAACAGTGTGTGTGATTTTCACAGAACTGCTATCAAAGTGACTGTAAAAAGCTGCTATATGAAATTAAAGGCTTGGCTTGTAAAAAAATGAAAGTACAGTATGGCTGACTTCTTTCGTGTGGCAAAGTGATTAGGGTCTATGGTTTCCAATCATAGGGTTGGAGGTTCGAATCCAGCTGCTGGCAGTATGTTGTGGCCCTTGGCAAGCCACTTCACCCCCACTTGCCTCTCTCCACCCAGGAGTATAAAAGGGTACAAGCATTAGCTGGGAAGCAACCTGTAATGGACTGGCATCCCATCGGGGGGGGGGAGGAAATATTCTCAGTTGTTTCATGCCAAGGAAACTGCAATAAACACCAGCCAGATGAGCCAAATTGGCTCGGACCAGACTTGCCTTTTTTTGCTTTTTCTTTCAGAAAAAAGGGGTGCTTGTAACAAACAAGATACATGTTTTTACGATATTTACAGAATGGGTGTCAAAAAGACCACAAAAGAGTTACTGAAAAACTCCTGACAGCTTGACTAGTGTACTTTGGCAATATCAGAAAAAAATCTTGAGGGGGTAGATTCTGTCTACTCCCTGGTTCTTTTAGGGTCAAATGAACACACACAATTATGGTGACTGGTAAGTTGTAATATATAATATATATACAATATCTTATGACCCCTATTGGCTTGAGTGTCTATATTTCAAATCTTCAATATTGCCTTGACGTTACTTTGTGCATGTGTCTGTGACATCAACGTATGGCCTCCACATCATCTTCAATACTTGAAAAGACGACTTACAGTCACTGCAGAAGACAGACTTCTCCTGGATGGACAGCACGTTCCTTCCACTCTCACTACCATCTCTGCTTCTATCCACTTGCCAACAAGAGCCCTAACAATAAAGAAAAAGTTAACTGGACTGGAGAAAAAGAAAGGCCTCATTTCTGTCAATTAATATGAATAATTCCAAAGCCATTTCCATGATTAAAACAAGCACAATATATAACCCTAACTGTTCAGGGTTGTTTGGCTAGAAACCCGGCCAGACACATCATTCTGCATCACTTGTCAAAGTAATTTGCCTGCGCAGTGTAATAAGATCCTACAGGTCAACTCTCCCCAAGGCCAAACAGCCTGGGAGTCTGTGGTTGCCAACCACCACAATTAGATCCAAGAGTGGCATTGTTCAGTGAGACCAGCTCCCATTGTCTCAACATGACTGCTATTGATTGCCCAGTGCATCAAAATAGTGCATCAGACTTTTACATCTGCTGCAGTGTGTTGCATCTGGCGGGGTTAGGGTTAAGGTCAGTATTTGCAGAGTGATACATGCATTTTTCACCATTTTTTAAAAACTCCTCTTCTAAAGGTTGTAGACTGCTGGCCCTCTTTGATTCCACAATGTGACCGTCTTGCTTGGACCTTCACCAGTGTTCCAAGAGCAGCTTATAACAATAAGGGGCTTGATCAGTGAAATTAAAATAATAAAATGATTTAACTAATTTAGCCATTAATAATAAAATAAAAATTCATAATTTTTACAAGACAAATATTCATTTTCATGTTATATTTAAGGAGCTGTCAAAGATTCAAAATGGTGGTTTTTATTAGTAAATTTGGGGGGAAATTATACCCCAAGACAGGTTTATCATCGGTTATGTTCTTTGCCAGAAAATATTTGTCATTATTTCTACAGTGTGTATAACATCGGCACTGTGCAGTCTCTTTAGTTTTTAATTTAGTTCTGTAAGACAACAGAAATTAACACAAAACCATACAATTTTTTGATGGCTGTAGCAAGTGGCAACTTCAACTTTATTTTAAATAAGATTTTCAGCTGAAGCAAAAACATTATTCAATTTATGCCTGATCTTCCTGACTCTACAGGGGAGGGGAAACGTTATCTCTCCCCCCTCCACCACACACACAGTGACTTAACACCTTCCATCGCTTTCCACCCCATGCAGCCCCCTCCCCCCTTCAAAATATTTCTTCTCCTCTTTATTTCCCTTTCATGGGTGGAAGGTGAAGCAACCACAGCTGCCTAATTGTGATTAAATCAGAAGGGTTAGCAGGTGTCAATTACATGTACGTGTGCATGAGCATGATGTCATATCCAGACTTACATGTCTCCATTGGCCAGTCATCTCTTACCTGATTGCCAGCTGCCAGGAGTCTTCACAGGTGTGGGGTCCAGCATCAAAATATGACAATGCAATGCAGGCGTATCGGGTGCATTCGATTACAAGGCAGACCTGGAAAAATAGCAAGTTATCACAATAAGAGAAACTCAAACTAACTGAAGAATCCTCAAAGGAAAACTTGCAGGCAACTGAATCGATAGGGACTCACACACCAATTCTACATGTATAAGTATCAAAACCAAAAAACTGATCAACCCTTAAAAAAAACGATAAGGTTATCCCGCTGCCATGGCGGGGGCGGGGTTTCACCAGAGGCCAATGTCTCTCCCCCTTACCAGTACTCCGATTATCGATATCCGTGGGGCACCCCCTTGCAGTGGTTGCTTGGCAGATGAGGTGGTCCAGTCGGAACACCATCGGGCTGGGATTGCCACTGTGAGGGGGGGACCTCAGCAAGGGCCAGTTGAGATTAGCACGAACAAAGGGAGTGCAGGGACGCCCTCTGGTGGCGAGGGTGCGCGGGGAGAGGTGGTCCTTTCGGAACATCACCAATGCTCACCCAGCGCCGGTGAGGGGGGCGCCCGGCGGCATCCGGTCGAGGTATATTACACCGGGGGAAGTCCTGAAGCGCCCTCTAGCAGCGGCAGCGAGACAGGTGGGGTGGTCTGTATGGAACACCGCCGTGGTGGAGCTGCCGGCACAAGTGAGTGGCACCGCACATGAGTCTAGTCTATGAGGTCAACCCCGAACCGGGGCACCACACACGAGTCTATGACAGTGATCTTGAACAAGGGCACCACATAAAAGTCCATGATGGCGATGCCGATCCAAGGCACCGCACACGATTCTATGGGGCTGACCTCGAACCAGGATGCCCCACCGTACACAAACCTGTGAGGCCAACTCCAAGCCAGGCGTCATGGCCACGACCCGTGCCAGCCTCCCCGAAGTTGGGCCCGCACTAAAAACCCGCCCTTCCGAACGCGGGCCCTGGCTGCTGCCCCCCGGGTAGCCCAAGTTGGGAGGGCAAGTACCCTGAAGCCAGCTCCGAGACCTGGCAACCACTAGTAGTCAAGCGAGGAGCTGAGGACCAGGGCGAGGGAGGCCAGAGGGGCCGGAGCCCAATGATGCTCCCCGACAAGTTCGATGGTAGCTCGTTCTGGTCGGACCACATCATACATTTTGAAAGTGTCGTGATGATTAACCAGTGGATGGAAGACGAGAAGGCGATGTATCTGGCTTCACACCTGAGGGGGGCGGCTCAGGAGGCACTGGCCGACATGGCCCCCGAAGCCCGGGGGGGGAGTATGGCACCATCCTGGAAAACTTCGGGCAATGGTTTGGAGTGACGTCGCAGGTCCCCCTGCACCGGGCACAGTTGTATATGTGAGTGCGGGGATAGGGCGAGAGCCTGGCCAACCTTGGGCAGTCTATCCAAAGGCTGGTGGCGAGGGGCTACCCTAAACTATAAACTACCCATGCAATCCTGGGAGGACTTGTCTGTGGAGGTGTTCTGGAAGGCTCCAGGGGATGAGCAGCTGCAGCGCCATGTCTTTCCGTGGAGGGCGACCATGTTGACGGAGGCGGTAACCTTGGCCACTGAGATGGAGGCGTTTGTGGAATCACAGGCCTGCCAGCGGGAGGGGAAGCCTGGGGCAAGGGAAATTCGCACTGTGGACGACCTGGATAAGAAACCCGCAGAGGAGAAGGCACCAAGCGGCGGAAGACTGGGGGTCATCCCCCGGTGGAGTGCTACGGAAGCCACAAGCTCGGACACATCAGGCGAGACTGCCCTCGGGACAAACAAGAAGCGGGTAACAACCTCCAGCAACCACCGGCAAGGCCTGCGGGGGAGTCGCCTCCGACGCACAAGACTGAGTCGCCCACCCTGCCCAAGCTCCTGGATACGAGAGCGGCCCTGAGTCTGATCTCTGCCCGGGTATTCAAAGAAATGGCGGCAGTGGATTGGCCCAGTCTTCACCCGGCTGGCCTGACACTAAAGATGGCGGATGGCAGCCCGATGTCGGCGCGGGGAATGGCAGAGTTTGAATGCCAGGTGGGAGACCAACGGCTGAGACACACCTACACCGTGGCTGACAAGGACCAGATGCCATCCTGGGAATTGACTTCGTTTCCAAATATCAGTGCGAATGGTGGTGGGGTGATAGTGTCATCGTCATTGATGGGAAGACCGTCCCACTGGAAGGGAGCGGCCGCCTGTAACAGGTTGCAAGAGTGCAGGTGGCAGAAAGCTTGGTGGTGCCGGGCGAGCACGAGGCATTAGTTGTGGAGAAGCTACAAGTGGACCCTGGGAAGAGGATCAGGATGATCTTCCCGGACCTGGCAATAACAGACCGGTGCCAAGTAGTGGTCGCCACCGGCCTGGTGGACGCCGGTAACAGGGCTGTTCCAGTGTGAGTTTTCAATCCGACGGAGGACCCGGTTACGGTGCATTGGGGGAGTCACTTGTTCTGTTCCGTGGACGACGTGGAGGTGGTTGGGCCAACGGAGGACCTGGGTGCTTCCACTCCAGTTCCTCGCCCTTTCACCGTCTCCTCACAGAGCGTCAAGGGTGAAGAGGATGGGCTTTGCCTTTTGGCCGACCCCACCCAGGGCGCCGAAAGCGAAGTGCCTGGCCACCTGCGGGACTTGTGGGTCCGCGAGTCCGCACACCTTAGTGACGAAGAGAGCTGCCGGCGGAGTTCGCAGGTGCATTCACTGGTCCGGATGGGAAGCTTGGGAGGATGGACCTGGTACAGCATCAGAATAACATCGGGACAACACCTCCCATCCGGCAGCTGGTGCAGCTGTTACTCATACATAAACACCAAGAGGCTGAGAGGCAGGTGGACCAAATGCTGCATGATGGCATCATCCAACCGTCCCCTGGTCCTCGCCAGTAGTCCTTATGAGGAGGAAGGACGGGTCCGTCCGCTTTTGGGAGGACTACCAGAAGGTCAACACAGCCACATTGAAGGACGCGTACCCCATCTCGAGAATCGAGGACAACCTCGACGTCCTGAGTGGAGCCCGCTGGTTTAGCATGCTCGACCTGGCCAGCGGTTACTGGCAGGTCCATATGGCAGAGGTGGACTGGGAGAAGACAGCGTTTGGGACCCTGTACCAGTTTATGGTGATGCCATTTGGGCTCTACAACGCCCCAGCGAGTTTTGAATGCCTGATGGAACGGGTGTTGAGGGGGCTGCAGTGGCAGGTAGCAGTAGTGTACTTGGATGAAGTCATCGTCTGGGGGCGTACGTTCGAGGAGCACTACCAGAGGTGTTGGAGCAGTTCCAGAGCACGGGGCCGAGGCTCAAGCCCAAGAAGTATAACCTCTTCCGGATGGAGGTGTCCTTTTTGGGTCACCTAGTGTCTATCGAGGGGTCAGAACCGACCCCGACAAGGTAACCATCATTAGGAGTTGGCTGACACCCACGATCGTGACGCAGGTCCGGAACTTCTTGGGCCTTGCGTCCTACTATCGCTGCTTCATAGCCCACTTTGTGGAGATCGCCCGCCCATTGCATGGTCTCACCAACAAGAGTCAGAAGGACTTCACCTGGACAGATTCCTGCCAGGAGGCCTTCGAACAGCTTCAGGATACTTTGGCGACAGCCCCGGTGCTGAGGTACCCGCATCCCGAGTACCGGTACATCCTGGATACCGGTGCCAGCAACTGCACCATAGGGGCAGTCCTGTCCAAGGATGGCAGCCTAGGTGAGCAGGTGGTTGCCTACGGCAGCCACGTACAGACGAAGTCTGAACGCAATTATTGCACTACCCGGAAAGAGCTGCTGGCCGTGGTCCACTTAGTACAGTACTTCAAACATTACCTGCTGGGGCAGACCACGGGTTGCTGAGATGGTTGTTCAATTTTCGGAAGCCAGAAGGGCAGATGGCCCGTTGGTTGCAGAGACTAGGGTGTTTCAATTTTGATTTTTTTGAGCACCGAGCGGGGCGCAAACACCTCAATGCTGATGAGGTCTGCCGAGTCCCATGTGGTCAATGTGGACGTTTGAAAGAGGTCGGGCAGGAGTGCTTCACGGCAGGGACACCGCCCCCTGCGGCCAAGCCAGCGCCAACAGTGGGCGCCATTCAGAGCGTGGACCAAAAGGACACATCGAGCTCCCGCGGGTCTGGAGCTCCGACCGCCTTCAGGAAGAACAATGTCAAGACCTGGAGCTGGCCCAGGTTCAGAAGTGGTTGGAACAAGGGTCCCACAGGCCCAAGTGTGAGGAAGTCTTTGCCCTCTGTGCCGTCGCAAAGTCACGGTGGGCCAGATGGGAGATGCTGTGGCTACAACAGGGCGTCCTCCAGGTGAGTTTGTTCCAGGGGGTCTGCCAGCTCCTTGGCATCCAGAGGACGTTGACAATGCC